CCATGTACACACAGGAGAAGTAATTGCTATCCATCATTCTCTGAAATTGGTCGACTGGCGTGTCAATGAATAGACTTGGATGCGCACTGCCGCTACAGCACCATACGATATCGGGCGGTGAACCATTATTCCATGTGATGGTCTCTTTGACCACACGTGCGCATTCATCCGTTATCGATACATCAGCAATGATGGAATGAAAGCGCTGCTTTGTGGAGTCGCGAGCTTTTTTCTACCAAATGTCAGTCACACTCTTCAATTCTGGTGCAACGGCCATGATGGCGGGGATTTCTTTTTACAGAGATTGATGCAATGGCTTCGGCTAAGCTCCCCTCGCCGCGCGCGACGATGACGATGTTGGCTCCCTTTGCTGCTAGTTGTTTAGCGGACGCTTGGCCAAGACCTTTCGAGCCGCCTGTGATGAGGATTGTCTATGCGGAAACTGTTTAGCTCTATCGATGAGATAGATGGAAGGTCGGAACGCGAGATAGGGGTAAGGCGACGTACACGCCCATCGACGGGGAACTCGTTTGTAGACAGAAACGAGCCCATTGCTCTCGCGACTGTACTAGTTATTTTTCAGAATTGAGGTAGTTATAACACAACACTTGAATACCTTGCTAGCATTCCAAGACGGCGAATGCGCATAGGAGATTGAAGGATGAGAGCGTTAGGCAACCCCTGCACCTCACTGAATTGTCGACTCGTCCGAAATGCCACGATCTATCCTGCCCGTTGCAGGATGATATCTGGCCTAAAAAAAAATCTCAATGAGTAAATCTAGCAATCCCACCCACTTCCGCTTAGGATTCAAGGGCCTAAAACCTGAGATCTTCAATCGTACCGTAGTTCAACGAACATGGCTACGGATCAACCCCATAGAGAAACTTGTTAAAATAAATAACTACTTAGCTACAAACACCCTTACAATGGTATGAAGCATATAATAAGGAAATACTAATACATTCTATTGGATTTATATTAGATCAAGCCTACATAGAAGATTATTTTTGAAGTTCTAAGTAGGAAGAATATAGACAGTTGTCCCGGGCCATCATTTTGCCGAGCCATCAGCCACGAGCACCGCCACGATCCAGCCTCACTTGCCACGAACTTCTGTCCCCCGCCATCTCAATTCTCCCCCAAACTTGATCAAACACCTACCCAAGCGCCTTCACACAGCCTCATAATGTCAGGGCTCCATCCCTCATGCCGCTTCCCTACTATTTCATTCTACTACCACGATGCGGTTCTAGATACACAATTCCGAAAGGGAGCTAGCAGTACATCGCCTTCGAGCAATCCAAGCAGCAGTTGCATATAATTCAATAATCCGCCCTCCTAGATACAGAATCCAGTCTCTTTCCACTATGCCGCCATTCATTGGGCATACGCCAGAGTCTCTTCTCCCGCGATCGGACTCGAAAAATCCTGCCACGACATGTAAAGGCATCACTTCCTCTGGAAGACCATGTCGACGAAGCATCGCTAACGCAAAGAATTCCCGGAATAATGGAGTCCTGGCTGTCATGCCAGTAGTCAGTGAAGATTATAAAGATAACAAAGAAGGGCTTGCTGCATTCTTCTGCTGGCAGCACAAGGACCAAGCTGAACAACTAGCAGCAACAAATGCTACGGCGCCCGAGAGGCAGGATACTCGGATATACCCATTGCAAGAGAGGAGTAGCATCGACACGCTAGTCGCGCGGTTGGGCGTTCTCGGGGGTGAGGACTCTCCACAAGCCAATACACAGAGGAAGAAGGAAGGGCAAAGAGTAAAAGAAAATTCATCCGCCAGACCTCCCCGTAGAGTCAATCGACCTCCAACATGGGACCGTGTCTATGGGCCGCTAATGTCAGTTCCAAGTGATCTAATCACGGAACAAAAGCGCCCGTCTCAAAGACCCGTGTCCAGTCGTCCACAACCGCCGAAAAGACGTAGTTTTTGGGCATTGTTATGTTGCCTGGGACCGGCAGATGATGATTATGTTGAAGTGGTGAGACACAAGAAGAGAATCGAGGGCCAAGTACGTCCCACGGTGAATCCAATACAGGCGCCAATGTCAGAGGCACCACAAAGGATCAGCCAAGGACATGCTCGATCCAGCAATGCTTCCCCGAATCAGTTATCAGCTTCACGATCCAACAATAGCATACCAGCGCGCAAGCCCTTAGGAGAGAAGCCTTCTAGGCCCATCAATAGGAACTCCCAACAACCAGCTTCTGAAACTTTAAATCTCCTCGCGCACATACCAAAGAGCCTCTCTCCCCAAACAACGTCTCTTCTTCTCACCGAACTCTCGAAACCCATCTCCCCTCACGATGATGAAGGATACATTTATATATTTTGGCTTACCTCCGAAGCCGCCGGTCCACCACCCTCCTCAACGGCTTCAACCTTACTTGCTCCGCCAAGTAGACCTGAACAAGGCCGACGAACGTCAGATGTTCTAAGACAATACTCCGTGCGGCGCCCGCAGCGCCCTAACACCTCTGGAGGAAAGGCTGAACAGCGTGGAACTTCAAGTCCCTCTAAGGATACTATATTACTCAAGATCGGCCGAGCGTCCAATGTCCACCGTCGCATGAATGAGTGGACTCGTCAGTGCGGATACAGCCTTTCATTGGTGCGGTTTTATCCATATGTGCCCTCTACGCCATTGCCATCACCTCAAGGCTCACCGGCAAACTCCCGACGACCCTCTTATCAGAATCAGCGACCTTCCGATCCTGGGCGACAAGTTTCCGAAGGCGTGCGAAAAGTACCGCATGTTCATCGGGTTGAGCGACTTATTCATATTGAATTAGCCGATCAGCGTGTCAAGAAGAACTGCGAAGCTTGTGGCAAAGAACATCGGGAGTGGTTTGAGGTCGAGGCGGTTCGCGAAGAAGTCAAAGCAATCGATGAAGTGGTTCGAAGGTGGGTAGGCTGGGCAGAGAACGTTAGCAATTCATGAAGTGGATATCAGCAATACTAGCATATATAGATCTTAGAAGTCGGCTGGGATAGATGCCTAGAACTTCTTTTACTAGCAATTAATAATGGCAGTGAAACGTCTAGCCCCCCTCATGTAAAACAGTTCACGGTATGCATTATTTGAATGTGAACTTAGCTTTTATGTTTGAAAAGGCCACCATTGTGACTCCCTCATATAGACGTAACATACCTGATGACTTACCGTTTTGCTCCTCCTTCGATTTCACTCTCCAGATAGTGTGCTAAGCATACTCTAGGGATTCCAGTACAACATTTCCCTACCACTTCCGATGTACCTGGTTCGCAAGAACGATTGTAATTGTTTTTTGTGTAATGCTAACTTTTTTGGTTACGCGAGTGCTACTCAAGGAATCAAGTGTTAGTACAGTGGCTAATGAGTCATATGGCGAAAGTACGAAACAGTCAATATGGACTCTACATTGCACGGTCCACCCAGACCTTCGACTATTATCAAACTGTCAACTTTGAACACTTCACTTGCTCATAACTAATGCATATCCTTTCGCAACGGAAAATCCAAGAGATTTGTAGAAGCGCCATTAAGTTAGAACCGTCTTAACTGAAGCAATTCACGTGTTTCCCTCTCCTTTCCTTTCTTCCTACTACGGATCCCTATCGCATTACCTTTAGAAAATCGGACGCTCAGTTACAGTACTGGCTGAAACTGGTAGAACGTGGCCTTCATGGATAACGTGGAAAAATGCTAGAGCAATGCAAACAATGTATGGACGGCGAGGAGACCCTCCAGGTCTTAGAATACTGTAAGTCTCAACCAGCTCCACAATAAAAGAATATTTACATACCGAAGACTAACAATAATAAGTTCTCGACACATTATAAAGAGTTTGCGAACAGAAATCTACATCAGGACAGATATTACTACTCTCTACAAACGACTCTGGAACCGCTACTCCTCGAGTAGCAACTCACTCACTCATCCTCTCCATGTTAGTCACTGTGCCCTCTACACTTAATACCGAGACGTCGAGTCACGAGGGGTTAGGGCCAGCGATAGGACAGAATATATAGATTTCCACAATCATCTTCCCCGTGGTCCATTAAGAAACAAAATACGCATAGTCATCCCATTCCCATCACCCCACATCAACGTGCCAACTCACTACAAGGACATCATTACATCATCTCGCAAGGCAAATATTACTCTATTACAAGAATACAGCATCACGTCGATCCGAGAAAGGAACAAAACCACATCAACACACAAGGGCCCATACCTCGGCCCCACCGCTATTGTGGGCATAGCCATCGGCGCATTCGTCGTCGCCCCTCTACTCATCCTTACGATTGTCTTATGTTTCAAAAATGCCGGAAAAGGAGAAACGGTAAAGGACTCGCGAAATGGTGGACCAAAGTATCCGAAGAGTAAAATGGGTAGGTATAATTCGCCGTACGAGTTTGATTATGCGTCGCCGGACGAAACGTAGAAAGAAAAAGGGCCGAAGTTGAAGTTTTGCAGTAGTTTAGGAGATAGGGTTTTGAGGCTTAGTGTAATTTTCGTGTAGTTTGATGGTGGTGGAATTGAGTTTGAGGAGTCCTGGAAGTGGTAAGTTCTCCCCCTTTCCCCTAATACCCTTTTTTTTTTTTTTTTTTTTTTTTTGAAAAAATAAGCTTTGAAGAAGATAGGAAACTCAGCGATTGGATTTTGACGTGCATTGATTGCACCAGCCAATTCAAGAGACAATCGAATTAAGGCAAGGCCATCTATGATATCAGATTTAGAGATAGGCAGGCTTCCATTGCAGATAATAGTTTGCGATTTTGAGAAATTGTTTGGTGCAGAACGAACGGCATTGAGTTTCTGTTGGTGTCCCGTAGAGGATTGGTCAGGGATTGACGCTGCATTGGCGTTGGCCCGGGGTAAACCCTACCAGATTCCCGGGAAACTTTAAGCCCCGCATCTGGGTTTGGATCGCTCATATTTTGTGAATTTGAAAATTTTAAATATCTATATATATTATTTTAATAATTATATCAACATCTAGCAGTCTTAGCTCAGCTGGGAGAGCGTCAGACTGAAGTTATTTAGTCAGTAATATGCCTTAGCATATCTGAAGGTCGTGTGTTCGATCCACACAGACTGCACTGATAATTTTTGCCCATCCTAGTAGACACTAGTCTTCTTAGTGTAAGACTTTTTCCTCTTGCTGTAATCGCAACCGCCTATCTTGAATCGGCTGCAATCTTTTTCTGGACTGGTAATTAAGATGTATCACTATGTCTGAACCGTATCGCGAGTCTGCCGATCAATCTTGCATGTGTAATAATAGATACATACGTTCTACGTGCCTTGCAGGGTCTTTCTTTCATATGCCTTGAAATATTTCGTTCTATTGTCTATATATATATTTTTTTAATCTATGATTCATGGTTCCTATTATGTGTGTTCTGCAAGAATGGCCTTTCGTATTTCCAGAATAGACCGGAAATCGAGTTTCGTAGAGGATCCCTCTTTCCGGTCAGATGTCAAAGACTGAAGGTGGTAGTTTTCTCCCCTCAATTCTAAAACTAGTTGCTTTGTGATAATTAGAGATTCAGAATAGATAACGAGTAGCACCACACGATGATATTATCAAAAATAAACACATATCCACAGGATATCTATTATCCTTATGCTATTCTACCAATGCCAGTGAGCCCAATCTCAACGCTCCTTTCTACCAGGCCTTCACATATCCAGAAACAGAAAGTAGCCCTTCAACAAAAGAAAAACCTCAGCTATGCAACTCCTTTACAACAACCTATTCTGCTGACACTCTATGCTATGTATGATAATCTACTTATTCGCTTGCCATGCTCACCATCAATGTAAAACAAACGCCCCTTCAAAAATAATAATCTGTACAAGAAAGGAAAGGGATAGGGTTATGTGAGCCTCCACTCCATTTCTATTAACAATTGCGGGTGCTACTCGCTTGAGGTAGACGGCGCAGTCTTATGTCTCGCCTGATGCGCTTTCTCGGCCTCCTTCAAGAGACTCTCCATTTCACCACTGGTCTCGCACATGCTGCGAAAGGAGCCACCGTCGCTGCGGATCAGGTTCCACGGATCACCGAATTCAACAACCTCGCCCTTGTCTAGTATAAGGACTTTGTCGTAGTCGATGATAGTCTGAAGTCGATGTGCAATAGTGATGGTAGTATTTTTGATCTCCCGTATCGTTTCTTGAATCTTCGCATCAGTCGCATAGTCAATTGAAGCCGTCGCCTCATCCATTAACAAGACCTTTGGCGCCTTCAATAATGCTCTGGCAAGGCACAGAAGTTGCCGTTGGCCCTGGGAGAGGTTCGTTCCGGACTCGGCTACTGGTGAATTGAGATTTCGAAAGGGGTTCTTGTTGTCCGCCTGCATGGCGACGTCTACATCCACGACCCTATTAGTGTTCGTCGCAGTTCCGTTTGGCATTATCAGAACCGTGTCCTCTCCTGCCTCACCGAGTATCATATTGGTTATGATCGAGCTAGGGTTTACAGTTGAAGCAGAATAGCTACCAGCCACGTCGCTAGTCATGGCGCCTGTGGCGGGGTCGGGTATTTCAATTGCTTCAGGCGTCCTTGGCTCTTCAGGAGTAGCTGATCGCGACGTTGTGCTTGATATTGTTGAGATCAGATGTACTTCGCGAAGTACTGTAAAGATCTCTTCATCAGTGAACAGGCCAAAAGGATCAAGATTGCTTCGAATTGTGCCTGAGAACAGTGTTGGATCTGTCGCACGTCAGTACGAACTTAGTTCTCTCGGTAAATCATCTTACCTTGCGGTACCATGACGATATTTTCCCGCAGGTCCTGCAGACCAATCAACCCGATGTCGATGTCGTCAATGAGGATCTTCCCTGTTTCTGCCTCCAGGGCCCGGAATAGAGCCAAAGCAAGCGAACTTTTGCCTGCACCAGTGCGTCCCACGACCCCGACCTTTTCTCCAGGAAGTATCTTAAAGCTTATGTTTTTGAGAACTAAGTCGAATTCAGTCCTATACCTCGTACTGTAGCTGATAAACTCCACGGAACCTTGATTTGGCCAATTAGTAGGTGGCCTATTTTCAGGAACAATTGCGGCGGCTTCTTGATCAACGTCGAGATACTCCTTGATACGTTCGACAGAGTTCATATTCTGCTCATTGGCTGAATAAAGCCGGACGAACCATAGAACGTTCTCTGTAAACGTAACGGCGTATGTTAAAGCAAGTCCAGCAGCGCCGGCATCGATGCGACCGACACTCAGAACCACAAATACACCAGCAAAGAACGAAACAAGAGCGCCAACAACATCCACTCGGAAAGCTAGCCATCGGTTCGCTGCCCACAAGTAGATGAAAGGGCGATGTTGCGTGTTGATCTTCGCGAGGTTCTCGCGAATGAAGCGTCTTTCATCTCCATATGCTCGGATTGTTGTCATACCGGACAAGGTCTCGCCGAATTGTTGGTAAAGCGGGCTTCTATGCACCGACTCTAGGCGCTTGAGATCTCGTGAGGAACTGATATAGAAACGTCCAATAAGCGTGTAAAGAACCGTGATAAACATGCCGGCAATTAAGAAGCCAGGAGTAATGACCGAAATTAGAATCACGATGGTGACGATAGATGCGAGGCAATGAACCACGCCAATCGCTACTGGAGCTACTTCTTGATCAACTGATTCAATGTCTTTAGAGAACCGATTCATGAGCTGGCCGAGGGGAGTCTGGTCAAAGAAGCGGAATTTCGCATGCGTGATGGCCTGAATGAGCCTCTCATGAATCCTTCGAGATGCCGCGAGAGAACCCCCGAAAAGGAAACCTTCTCTAAGGAACGTGATGAACATGAAGATTACCCCGAGAACAGCGTAAACACCAAGGTAGTATCCAGCATTGACATCCGACTCGGAGGGATTGAAACTGGTTTGCATGGAATTGTAGGTGTAGTGTTCTTCTGGAGGCTGCGTAAGGAAAGGCAAATTCCAATTGCAGGTACCACTGGTGAGGCAGGTTCCGAGACCATTCAGAGTAGCTGCGTGAGTAATAGGTGATCGGCTGTGAGCACTCATCACTTGGGGCTGCCTATCCGCATACGCGTTTGCCCATGCCCGGATCCATACGTTCGTGGCAACGGAAGAGATTTGCTGCGCGGCAAAAGCGACTGCTGCTCCTACCCAGTAATACCAAGGACCCATAGCCTTGAGGTACATGAAAATGATGCTGAGTTTGACGCCACCTTCAGCTTTGGTTTCCTCATAAGCATTGGTTTTCTTGGGGTTTACCGAGCCATTTGCATTGCCATTGGTCGTTCCATTCGCACGTCTAATTTCTCCGTTTGCTTCCTCGCCGCCGACGTCGGACGGTACACGTGATGGGACTCTCGATGGCCCTCGTGAGACTGGGCGTGATTTGGAAAGATCTTCAGTGAGCTTTCCGGAGTCGATGACTTCTATAGCGGTCCCTTGCGCAGTTACCCTGCCGTTGTCAAGAACAACGGCATACTCGGAATGCGGAAGGCATAGGCTCACGTTGTGAGTTACGAGTATACAGGTACGACCGCGCATCAAAGCTCCATTGAGAGCCTCATCGAAAATCCACTTCGCGGTATGGGAATCGACAGCGCTGAGCACGTCATCTAGAAGGACGTGGCGGGCGTTGCTGTACAGCGCACGTGCTAATGAAATGCGTTGTTTTTGACCTCCGGATAGAGTAACGCCTTTCTCACCCACTAGAGTTTGATCTCCATTATCGAGAATTTCAAGATCCCTTTGAAGTGAGCAAGCCACTATGACTTGCTTATAACGCGTCTCGTCCCGGCGGCTTGCAAATAAGATATTCTCTTCGATTGTGCCATTTGCGAGCCAAGCCTGTTGCGCACAATAAGCGACGCTCTCCGTAAGACCCGTCATCGGATCCGCTTTCAGGTCTTCTCGGCTGCGGCCCCCAGGTAGATATATGCTTCCTTTGAGCTTGGTCATCTCTCCAAGTAGAGCCATAAGGAGCGAAGTTTTTCCAGAACCTGTAGGCCCCACCACGACGTTAAGCCACCCTACCTTAAATTTGATATTCAGATCCATTAGCTTGAACGCTTCCGCAGCGGCTTTGTCATGCAGGTCCTTCCCGCCCCAGCTAAAGGTACCATTCTCGAAACCAATGATGGGATCCCCGCTCTCGTCGTCCTCATGTGTTACTAGCTGCGAGTACTTCTCTGTTTCCGGCTCACTCAAATACTCCTCGATACGATCGACCGATACCTTCGATTCCTGAACGTGCGCAACCATGTCCGCAAGTTGATCGAGAGGAATGCGGAGAATCTGAAACAGAGAGAGGGCGGTAAAAGCAATCGAGGGGATAAGTGCTTTCTTCTCGACCTGTGTGTAGACCAGAAATGAAAGGAACGTAATTAAAATAGGCGAGCCGGACCAGATGGTTGCTGCAATAGCCCATAGAACGTATCTTTGTCTGAGATTTTTCAGCTCTGAATATCGCTTGTCGTTAACTTGTCCAATGAAACGTTGTTCCCAGGCAAAATACTTGATAATGCGAATATTGCTGAGAACTTCGTTCGTGGTGTGGATCCGTGCGTCCGTCGCAGCCAGAATGAGCTTCTGTATCCTTGCAAACTGTTTAGAAACGTATAGATTAATCGGTAAAAGGATAATCATCATTCCAATACCCGCAATCGAACTGTATCCGAGAATTTTGTAGAGTAGTGCAATAGCGACAACCACTTGAACCGGAGTATTGGCCCAAAGGAAGTGAAGATATGCGCATATTTCGCTGACCTTGAAGGCATCCACCGCCATAAGATTAATGATTGCACCGGTGGTGACTTGGGTATCCGCCTCAGGGTTCTTGTCTTCTTGCTTAGGCCCCTCAGTTGCCTTCTTCTTCTTTTTCCGTCCAAACGTCATAATCCTCTTGATTCCCTTAGGCTCGTCTTCCTTGGACCGCTTCTTATCTGCACCGAGAACCTTGTCTGAGCTAGCTGCTACCTTGCGCTTCAATGCCTTTGCATAGATTTCACCAATTATGACAGCACGTAACCGAATACAGATTTTACGGCCTATCCACAACGCCTGGCCATCAGCGAGTGCGGACGCACATCCGGACGCAAAAAGAAGGATGACGTA